GCAAGGGATGCACAGTGCGATGTGTTTACTTTTCGTGGTCTCATGAGTCATATATTAGGTTACTGCTCTGCTCATCTGATCCTCTCTACCAGCTATTGCTAAACTTATTTTGTTGTTCATTCACTGTCCCAAGAAAATCAGTCCTTCTGGAAATTAAGAGGAAAGTTGACTCGAGGTAGTGCTTGTTTCTGTCTCTGAGTCTAAGATTTGAACTGACTCAAAAGGATATTAGTATTCACCTCTGAGGGATTTATCGAATGTTCACAGATAATTGGAAACAGGGGTGAGGTAGAGATTTGATGTGAGGGGAATGGGGGCAATTTACATCACGTATACCGTTACTTTCTCTGTTACAGAAGCATGTGAAATGCATTCACATTTTTGTTCTAGCCTCATCCTCCCAGAGAACCTAAAAGGGGGAGGTTTAGCTTAATTTTATTGTGGATAAAATAGAAGATAAAAGAGCTAATCATATAGAAGTAGAAAAATGATGATTTGAAGCCAAGTGCCTTTGTCTTTCTGGCATACTATACTGTTACACTAAGCATCCTCATTTGCACATGCTTCCTCCCTCCCGCATGATTTCTCTCTCCTGACAACTATAGGTTTAGGTGTAGTGAAACTTAATTGCACAAAGTAATTAATGAGTCCAAGGGCAAGCAACTAAGAAAAATCAGATCCAACAAAACTTCCCTCCAAATGGTTCTACTTCAAGAATATGTCTTATATTTACCTACTTCATTCATTTGGTGTCTAACTCGGCAACACATTCCACCAGGAGAGTGGCAATTGCATTTTCTGTGGTCTCTTGGCTCCAAGTTGTACATCTTACAACTCATTTTCATATCAGTCACTACTAATCATATATGGATTCCCAGTAGATGCTCAGATGATTTGCAATGAGGCTGAACATATAGCACCCATTTCTTGTTCTTACTCAGCTCTCTTATACAAGCTGGTTCCTCCCTGTCTCCTTACATTGATCTTGTCATTCTCTCCACCTCCTCTGCAGCATTTAGACTCTTCTTTCTTGAGCGTAAGGTTGCTCTCACCTTAGTATCTTCTTGGGAGATAGCTCTGAGATATCTTTCCAACAGTCTTCAAAGAATTAAACACTTCTTGTCATTAAGCCCGTGAACTAAATACTGCCCAAAGATTGAGAAAGTCTCTGCCACTCACCCTAAACCATCCACAAAACACTATCTATCACTTTGTTTAAAATTTCATGTATAGTGTGCTCATAATTGATCATTTATCCATTCATGCTCTCATTTTCTGCCCTTCCACTTAAGGTGCAATATCAGCTTCCCAAAATGCATTCCCAAAGGCATCCTGTTTACTATTGGTAGTAGGCAGAAGACTGCATCCCTCAAAAGTTCCGTGTCCTAATCCCCACAATTTGCAATTATGTTATGTTACGTGACAAGGAGAAATTATGGTTGCAGATGTAATTAAGGTTGCTAATCCATTGACTTTATTTTTTTTAAATAGTTCATTGTCAAGTTGGTTTCCATATAACACCCAGTGCTCATCCCCACAAGTGCCCTCCTCCATGCCCATCACCCCAAGCTAATCCATTGACTTTAAAATTAAGAGGTCATCCCAGATTATCTGGATGGTCCCAATGTAATCACAAGCGTCCTTAATACAGAAGGAGATGTGATGAAGGAAGAGGGGTCTGAGTGGTTCAATGTGAGTTATATTGACCAACCATTGCTGGCTTTGAAGATGGAAGAAGGGGACCATGAGCTGGAAAGGCAAGGAAATGGATTGCCCTGCGGAGCCTCCAGAAGGCACACAGCCTGATGTCATCTTGGTTTCAGCCTCACAAGACCCATTTCAGAACTATGACCTATAGAACTATAAGATTATTTTATAAACTGTTGCTTGGGGGCGCCTGGGTAGCTCAGTTGGTTAAGCCTCCAACTCTTGATTTCGGCTCAGGTCATGATCTCAGTCTGTGAGTTTGAGCCCCACATAGCTGTCTGCTATCAGTGCAGAGCCCACTTTGGATCTTCTGTGTCTCTCTCTCTACCCCTCCCCTGCTTGTGTTTGCTCTCTCTCACTCTCTTTCAAAAATAAAATAAACTGTGCTGTTTTAATGCACTGAGCTTTTGGAAATTTGTTACAGCGCCAATAGGAAATTACTACAGATGGCATATCCAGCACATGGATATATATGTGCACTGGAACAGTGCTTGAATGAATAAATGAAGGAATCACATGTATGGGTGAGAGACTGGCTTCTGAATTCTCCCTCACTCTACTGAGCATACCTAAGTTGCATCCTGACAGCCAGGAGCTCATTTCTTTACAAATGGGACTTCTCTAAGCATTGCTTACCTCCCACCAGGTGCTCCCTTCCTTTCTCTCCTCCAAGATCCCATGATTCTCATCTACACTTAGGAATGGGGACAGAGTAGGTATGGCATTATTCCTGACAAGTGGATTAGGTTTATTTTCACTCTCTTCTCTTGGAGGAGGTTTCTGCCGCAGAAAATTAGAGTTTAAGAGTCCTCACTGGCCTCATGGTGACCCAAACCCCTTCTACACTGTAGAGTCTGGGGATCAGAAAGGGAAGGTAACAAGCCCAAGATCACAGAGCTGGAAGGTGGCTGAGCCAACACTGAAACTCAAGGCTTCTCTTTATCTACAAACAAGGATAAAAGAGATCCTTTACTTACCAGTTTTGGAGTTTAGTTCTGTAGATGGAAGGCAACTACTTGACGAGTTTCCTAGAAGACAAGTGAGGAGAGAGGTGGGGATGTGGAGCTCTATTTGATTCTTTTGGACTGCAATATAAGATTTCTTGCATGAATATATCAACATGTATCTCTCCATTCTCATTATTATAGACATCTGGCTAACATGGACATCTGGGTAATATGGATAATATAGATGTCTAAACAATAATATCCTTCCTGTCCATGAACAGGGGATATCCTTCCATATGTTTGCGTTTTCTTCATGTTCTTTCATCAAACTCTTACAGTTTTCAGAGCATAGCTTTTTCACCTTTTAGGTTAAATTTATTCCCAACTATTTTATTATTTTTAAATCATCGTAAATGAAATCATTTTCTTTTTTTTCTCACATCAGTACAGCTTTTATTGCGTTTTTAAAATATCACAAATAAGTTTGAAAAATAACCTGGGATCTTGCTGTTTCTGTAGCTGGACAACTTAGACCTTATTCATCAGCTTGCTGAACTGTTCCTTTTTCAGAAACATAGATACCATCCAAAATTTTTCTGATAATCCTTGTTTCTAACTGTTGTGCTTGATGAATCAAAGCAGCTAAATTTGATAATGATATCATCCTTTCTTTCTTGTGAGACTATTCTCAGTCTTTCTGTTCTGCTGTGTCACTAAAAGTTACTAACGTCTCTTAGTGCTGTTTTGTTGATGGCATTTGCAAGCTTATTGATTGGGGTCTATTGTTTTGTTCTGGGACCTCAGAGAACCTAGTTATTTTGGAGCTCAGAGCATCCCTCTTTCCATAGGTGTGAGTCACATGCTCACTGTCATGGAAATTGACAAGCACATCTGGGACCCTGCTGCAAGGAGAGCCCAAGAAGTAATGTGAGCCTCTCTTCAAGGGGCCCTACTTTTTTTCTCTTCTCCAGACGGAAGATCAATACAGAAAGGGCTACTGTCTGTGGAGCATACATTATTTCAGTGGCCTGTCATTGGAGCTTTCCTTGTTTTGGAGACTCTCCACCACCCAAATATCAGTTCCACTTTTCATTACAACACTAAGGATGAGGGAATCTGCCTGTTTTTAAGGTCAAGACTCAAGTAAATTTCAACTGGGAGTGGAGTGCAGAGACCTGTCCCCAGATTCCAGGACCCCTGAACACAGCTGTCTGCTCTGAAGTTACTGAGACTGAGGGAAAGTCAGTCCAGGAATAAGCTGGGAGTGAGGGTCCTGCCAGCTGCTCAGGAAATGCTTGGATGGAGCGAAAGGGGAGGCAGTGAGGTCCAACAGGTAGACTCTTAGGGACAGACCTATATAAATTCAGGCATTTATATGGTTACCACCATAATAGATTGCATAGGAAGCTTTTCTTTCCATTCTTTATAGGGCTGAAGTTAGTCCTGCCTGCTTAAATAATTACTGTAGTCTCTTCTTGACATTAAGTATGTGATGGAATAATCCTACATGCAGGTTTCTTGATAGTTGCTTTCATTTATTTAATGTGGTGTTTGAAATTGATCTGTACTCTACTTGTAGTTTCAGTTTGTGCTTTTTCTGCCACAAAATATTCCATTTCCTACACAGAATGCAAACATTCGTTAATTGTTGATGTGTTTGTATGGTTTTATCTACACGAAAAGACACCCTTGTCAACATTCTTATGCATAGATCAGCATCCAGATGCACACGGTTTCCTCTAGGGCATAGAGTTATGGGCCAGAGCTGTATCTCTTCCTTTGACCAGGTGATTCTGATCTACTCCCCAGATTGAATGGAACAATTTATACCCCTACCAGTAATGTACTGGAATTCTAAGTACACGATATTTTCTCCATCGATCGGTTTTGCAATTGTGTTCTCTTGCCTCTCATGTGAATGTACTAGAGGTGGAGATCACAATTCACTGAAACTGTGGCATTGCACTGAGGTTGCACATCCAAGGATCTCACAAATAGAAAGAAGTATATGTACATGTCGGGGTTATCAGTGAGGTGCACCATACCTGAATCACACTCACCTGTGAAAGATGACTGTGTCCATGCTGAGCATCTCAGCTTGGCACACAGTGCATTCACATGACACTTTGATGTTGGCCATGAAGGGCATGTTTACACCAAACAAATAGGCAAATGCCATGGAAAGCAGCTTTTTAAAAAATGATTATTTTGTAGAGCCAGTGTAGCAGCACAGCACAAGGCTGTCACTTTAACCAACCCTGTGCTCAGCCAAACTAATGATATTTCTGGAAAATACTCCAGGAATCATTGGATGAGGAGCAAAGAGCTTTATGAGTCCAGAGGGGGTTAAGGGAATAGTTCTGGGTTTATCTCTCACAAAGTGGAGCTGATTTTCATCCATTTATTCACTTATTAAAACAGATATTGTGTTTGGGGCTGAAGGGATGGAGGTAGACAGCACACACTAGGGAATGTGAAAACTGAAAATAAAGGAAAATATATCCCAGTAAAGTGGGCCAGAACGTGACATTGTAGAAAGGTATAAACATGACACTGTAGGAAGGTATGAACCCAAACCAGTGTGTGAAATGCACCCTCGTGTCACAGGGATGAAGAAAGACAGGGGTCAGTGAAGGGAATCCATCAATGGTAGGAAGGAAAGTACTACAGTTCATGGAGGAAGAGTCCTGGCCAGGGAGATGGTCAGACACTTTCTCAGTAGACAGTTCTGCTGGCAGAGCGGCAGATTTTCTTCCAGAACTCCCTGCACCATTAGGTTCATCCTCAGAACTCTGCCATGCAGGATTGTGGTTTTCCTCCATTTCCTCATTGTGTTTATCTCCTGGTTGCATCTGGGGTTCTTCTGAAGCTGTGGCCAGCCTGAAATAGCAGAATCCCCAGGACCAGCAGGATCAAGCCTGCCACACCCATGCGGATGAGATTTTCTATCGTGTAATCTTTGGAGTTGGAGGCTAGGAATGAGGACCAAGAGGTTACAGAGGTCAGGGCAGCCCCAAATCATCCTGAATCCTGGATATCCACCAAGAGCACCCACCTCCCCTTGATCGGACTTTAACCTCCGTGTCAGTCCCAAAACTGAGACTTTCTTCTACTCACCACTGTTGGGGTCTGACTTGTTTTTGGGTGGGCTGATATTGTCAGTTGCTACTGTGGGGAAAATAGAAGCAGATGCTTAGGATCCTGAGACCACTCTCCAGCCTGGCTTCTCGCTCTGTGTTCTATAGCCCTCAATTTCTCATTACATAGTTTTTGTACAGTTCATGAACAACTCCTTCTCTGCAGTAGTGGGTTTCCTCTGGTACCCTCATTGGAATCCTTCCATCTCCTTGTTTTCTTTGAATTCAGACTTTGCTTCTAGTCAGTCTGGAGTGGATGCTGGCTGTGCCCTAGGAGCTCAGGGTTGGAGAGAAAAATGTCCTCCCAACACAGAAATAATTGTGTCCTTGTATGTCACATTCAGTCTGGGATACAAGACCCCATGTGCCCATGTCCTCAGAGCTGAGAGTTCCCACTTATTCAACAGCCAAGGATTTAGCATCCATAGACAAGGGGGTTGGTATCAGGGGGTTCTGAAGGTTAGGAACACAGAGGAGCCAAGATCTGGGGCAGGGTCCCCTTCCCTCCATTTGAGTCACCTCCCTTCTTTCTGGGTCTGCATTTTAATCTGCACCTGGAACTTTACCTCCTCATGTGCTTCCACTGATTCATTTATCATATAAATAGTTAGAAATGTCCACACAGGTCAATATATAGATGTACACATAGATAGGTGCACACATATACACCAAACACATTAGTATGTATTTCCTCAAGGTGATGTTTATTCACACTTGCGTGTGGATCTAGGCAACGAGATCCTATTGAATGAAGAGTATGGCCATCAAGATGAATATCTGTATATATACACATGGATATATATGTATATGTGTTATATATTCATAGATCATTTTATATACACATATAGCCATATGTTTATATTAACAGAAATATTATAAATATATGAATACATAATCACATGTATTTGTATGAATATCTAGATCTTCCTGTCTAGAGAAAAGGAGAGACAGAGAGGCATGGTCTGTCTTTCCTCAACAGGACTGCAGTTGTGTCTGTGGTCTGTGGATGGGCAGATGACAAAAGCACCTGGTCTCAGTTCATGGTCTCGTGTCATGGAGACAGTTCAGGGAGGCATGCCCATAAGGGTAGACTCCATCTTCATCTCCCTGCTTTGGGACAAACTCTAGAAATCTGGTGATGTTTCCAGTAGGGATAGCTAATCATTTTATTTTCATTATCAAAGACAACTTTTGCTCCCACTATCTCACAGGGTCAGAACTGAGGAAACCCATATGTATGTTTTTCAACTTCAAGAAACAGAAGTCAGTGGAAGTATAATATCAATTATAATTTGTGAACACAAAAGCAAGGAAATCATGAAAAGCTATTACCTCATTTTAATATGAAAATCAAAATAGTAAAAAAAAAGAGAGAGAGAAAAATTACAGACCCTGAATAGCAAAAGTAATGTTGAAAAAGAAACCAAAGCAGGAGGCATCACAATTCTAGACTTTTAGCTGTATGACAAAGCTATAATCATCAAGACAGTATGGTACTGGCAGAAAAACAGACACACAGATCAACTGAACCCAGTAATGGATCAATAAATGTATGGCTGACTAATCTTCAACAATGCAGGAAAGAGTATCTAATGCAAAAGAGACAGTCTTTTCAGCAAATAGTGTTGGAAAAACTGGACAGTTACACGCAGAAGAATGAAACTGGACCACTTTATTACACCACACAGATAAATAAATTAAAAATGAATAAAAGACCTAAAGATAAGACAGGAAACTATCAAAGTCCTAGAGGAGAACACAAGAAGTAGTTTCTTTGATCTCTGCCACAGCAACTTCTTACTAGACATGTCTGGAGACAAAAATGAACTATAAGGATCTCATCAAGATAAAAAGCTTCTTCACAATGAAAGAAACAATCAACAAAACTAAAAAGCAAGTGATGGAATGGCTGAAATATTTTCAAACGACATCGGATAAAGGGTTAGTGTCTAAAGTCTATAAAGAATGTATTACACTCAATCCCACAAAATTAAATAATCCAGTGAAGAAATGGGAAGAAACCATGAACAGACACTTTTCCAAAGAAGACATCCAGATGGCTAACAGACACATGAAAAGATGTTCAAAATCTCTTATTTCAGAGAAAAATAAATCAAAACCAGAATGAGAACCACCACACACTTGTCATAATGGCTAATGTTAATACCTCAGGAAACAGCAGATGTTGACCAGGATGGGGAGAAAGGGGAACCCTTTACAGGGCTGGTGGGAATGCAGACTGGTGTGCCCACTCTGGAAAACAGTATGGAGGGTCCTCAAAAAACTAAAATAGAAGTACCTTGGACCCAGCAATTGCAATTCTAGGTGTTATCCAAAGAATAGAAAAATGTTGATTCAAAGGGGCACATGCACTCCAAGGTTTATAGCAGCACTATCAACAAGAGCCAAATTATGGAAAGAGCCCAAATGTCCATTGTCTGATGAATGGATAAAGATGTGATACACACACACACACACACACACACACACACACACACACACACACTACTCTGCGATGGAAAACAATAAGAGCTTGACATTTGCAATAATGCAAATGGAGCTAGAGTGTATATGCTAAGCCAAAATAAGTCAGTCAGAGGAAGACAAATATCATATGATTTTGCTCACATGTGGAACTTAAGACAGACAACAGATGAACATAGGGGAAGAGAAGGAAAATAAGATAAAAACAGAATAATTTTAAGTGATATATCACTGGTTTCTGCTACTGAAGCCAATACTACACAGTATGTTAACTAACTTGAATTAAAAATATTTTTAATGTTTATTTATTTTTCAGAGAGAAAGAGAGGTAGAGTACAAGTCGGGGAGGAGCAAAAAGAGAGAGGGAGAGACAGAATCCAAAGCATGTTCCAGGCTCTGAGCCATTAGCACAGAGCCTGATGCAGGCCTCACATCCATGAACCACGAGATCATAACCTGCACCGAAGTTGGTCACTCAACTGACGGAGCCACCCAGTTGCCCCAATAAATAAACTAATTAGAAAAGAAAGAACAAACTGAGGACTGATGGGTGTGAGGGGAAGGGGGGGTGATGGACATGGAGGAGGGCACTTGTGGGGATGAGCACTGGGTATTGTATGGGAACCAACTTGACAATAAACTATTTAAAAAAAAAGAAAAAAAAAAGCAATGGAAAGTCAGAAAGTGTGCAATGAGTTAACAGCACTTAAAAATATCCCCTAAACAATAGCTCCCTTAGGCATACTTACTATTCAGACAGCTTACTTTATGGTACTAAAGTAGTTAACCAATTCTTAAAACAAGTTATGAATTGACACCATTTTTATGAATAAAGTTCAAAATCTTTGATGTTCATGAACGAGATTCTGTGAAAAGGAGATAAGACTTGGTAGTAAGAAGTTATTCCCCACAATGAATGTGTGAACCTAATCTGACCCCATGGATACTGGTTTTTGAGCCTTGCGTCCTTGTAACATCAGTTCCATTCGTGACTCTATGTGTGGACATTGCTCCAGAAGTTCTGAGAAGCAGGCAGAGTGACACTGGACAAGCGTCCACACACAAGTCAGTGAGGACATGAATTGCCCATGGGTGTGTTGTGCAGCCTCCCTAGAGACCCCTGCAGGTCAGGCATGGCCCCCCACCTGGTCTCAGGTGTGCCTTGAGGCCCCCAAGTGAGCATAGGGGGCAGGAGAGCAGGGCACACAGGTGGGGAGACTTCTGTGCAGAGGAGTATCCCGTTGGATGACCCCACAGTTCAGATTCCAATATGGAGGCCTCTGTCTCCTTAGATGGTTCACCCAGCCCTCACCCAGCCCTCCCACCCTTCATCTCTGCGGAGACTGCAGGATGGGGGACCCAAGGTGGAGGTCCCTGCTCTTTCCATCTCTCATGGGCTGGAGCCTACTCTGTGGAGTCTCCCCCTCATTTATCACTGTCTCAGGTTTTCCTGAGCTGAGAGACTCAGTAAGGATGGGCCAAGGGCCCCTCACCTGAGACCAGCAGCTCCAGGGGCTCACTGGGGTGTGACAGCAGGTAGGGGAAGGCGCTATATGAGCCGTAGCACCTGTAGGTCCCCCCCTGGGCTGAGGTCACAGGACTCATGGAGAATTCTGCCTGGTACTTCTTATCTTTGTTCTCTGATCTACGACGCAGGGGGGGGTCGGCTGCCCCCTCCTTGGACAGAAGGAAAGTGTCCACACGGCTCCTGTACTGACACAGCAGGGTCACGTTCTGTCCTGAGGCCACCGTGGGTCCCGGCTGCACCGAGAGGGAGGGCGTGGAGGACAGCTGTCCTAGAGAGAGGAAGGCGGGGGAGGGGCTGTCCATCCCTGTTCCTAACTGAGTCTGTCTGTCCTCTGAGTCTCTCCCCTTCCCCCTCCCGTCTCTCTCTCTCCCTGGGGACCCCACACCCCTGGTCCCGGCCACCACCCCCTGGGGCACCCCCAGCACTACCTGTGCAGAGACTGGGGCCCTGACTGAACCCGTGTCCCCTCACCTGTGACCAGGATGTCCAGGGGGTCACTGGGGGCCGACCACTCGGAGGAGAGGTTGTGTCCACCATAGCAGGTGTACCGGCCCCTTTGGGATCTGCTCACTGGGCCCAGCGGGAAGTCGGCCCCAGAGAGCCCAGCCTGGGGCTGCCGGCCTTGGGGCTGGGGGGTGTCACGTGAGCCCTCCTTGTGCAGAGCGAACCTGTCATAGCCGACATCTGAGCGACACTGGAGGGTCAGGCTCTGTCCAGGGGACACCACAGGGCCCTGCGTGGTCAGGAGGGAGGGCTTCCTGGACACACCTGGGAGAAGACCTGCCGTGGATGGAGGGGTGGTTCTCCCCACACCTCCCTTCTCCATCCTGACCCCCTGTCTCCCTGTCTCTCACCCTCTGTGTCTCTGATCTGTGAGATCCCCGTGGGCTCCTCACCCCACCTCTCATCTGGGGCTCCCCTGGGAGCAGAGCCTCCATAACCTGCCTGGTGCCTCAAACATGGATGGGAAGAATCAGACTCTCTTACCTGATACCAGGAGGTCCAGGGCGTCACTGGGCTGTGACCACACCTGGGGGGAGTTGTTGTAATAGCCATAGCATCTGAACGTCCACCTGAGCCCGGGGGTCACGGGGCCCACAGGGAACAGGGCCTGGAACTGCCCATGGGTGGGTCGCTGGGAGTCCAGGGTCGAGGAGGGCCTGGGTTCTCCTTCCTTCATCAGGACGAACCTGTCGAATTTCTCCCATGAGGCACACTGGAGGGTCACATTCACTCCTGAGGTCACGATGGGGCTGGGCAGGGCTGAGAGACTGGGTTTGCCATAGGATCCTAGGAAAGGAGGAGGGGGCGGGTTAAATGGGGCTCAGATGCCCCCACGGTGTCCCCAGGGCTGGGCTGTGAGAGGGAGACATGCTGAGAGCAGACCCCCTCCCTGAGGGCAGAGCCTGGGGCTGGGACCCTGAGGGGCTCGCACCTGTCACCACCAGCTCCAGGGGGTCACTGCTCTCTGACGAGCCAGAGGGACTTAGATAGTGACAGCGATACTGTCCTGCATACACATTTGTCATTTGTGTAATGGAGAACTTGGTCTTGTCCCCAGGCTCCAGTGGCTTCTGTCTGTCCCAGGTCACTGATTGTCCCTCTTTATCCAGAGAGAACTGCTGGGCCTCTATGGTCCCCTGACACCAGATGGTCACAGGTGTCCCCCAGGGGACCACCGGGCCTGGCTCAGCCCAGATGGTGGGTTTGGGAAGGGTCCCTGGAAGGAAACAGAGGCTGGATCCTAAGACCTTCCCCACCCCCAGTTCCCAGCTCAGCCCCGAACCCCTAGGCATCCCTTCTCCATCCACCCAGAACTGTTGTTCTCCATCCCCAGATGCCTGGTGGGTGAGCCCTGTCCCCAGTGAGAAGGTGGGATAGGCCCCCTGGGGACAGACTCACCTGCCTGTGCTCGGGTCCTGGGGCCCACACTCAGCCCTGCAAGAGAGTCCCTATGAGAGGTTTGCCCCGAATCCTGAGCAGAACCCTCCTCCTCGTGACCCTCCTGTGCCTGGGGTCTCTGGCAGCCCAGGGGCTGGCTGTGAGGCGGGTCCCTCCCAGACTAGGGCGTCCCCTCCCCTCCTGAGATCTCACCGAGGAGGAGCAGGGCCGTGAGGGTGGGGGTCATGGTGTCACTTGACTTTGAATCTGGCTCTGCAGATGGAGGAACCTCAGTGCCCGCAGGACAGGAAGCAGCACAGGGTGTGGCCACTTGGGGGCTGGTCTGCTGGTTATGGGGTTGTCACGTGAGCAGCCCCACAGGAGTGTGAACAGCCTGTCCCCACTGGCTGGCTCTGGTGTCCATGATGGTGCAGCAAGTGAACCCCGAGGTTTCCTGAGATGCCCTGTCCAGGTGAGGAGACCAGGGCACATCCTTCCCTCCCAGAACGACCCCTGTGGGGCCTCCTTCATTCTCAGCCCATCCCCGGGAGTCCTCACCTCACATGGGGTCCCCAGGTCCCAGAGATGCTGCAGGACACACGGGTTCCTGCTGCTCTGCGGCCTCGGGTCAGCATAGACATGCATGTGAGCTTTCTGCACACTCAGGTCCAGGTCACCATGGCAACGCACACAGAGGAGAAATACAGGGAAATAGGGAAGGAAACACAACCCTCTCCTGGCCTCAGAGCCTGGGCTTTCTTTCTGTTCCAGCCTTCGTGGACTTCTCTTTTCCTGTGTCACTGTCCACCTCCGCTTCCTGGGAACATGCCCGTGAGTCCCTCCTGTCTCCTCAGTGTCCCTTATTTCTGAGCAGAGCTGTCCTCCCCATTCTGGGGCCCAGCCTGCAAGATGGAGGGGACAATGCATGAGTGAGTGCTCTGATTTGGGAGACGAAGCTGATTCTCATGTAAATATTACTCCATAATCCACTGCCCATGGGACCTTAGCAAGTGACCTGGTTTGTAGAGGATTGTCCTGAACTTCATTCCTCAGAGTGGTTGTGGGGGTCAGTGGTACATGGAATGAACCTATGCTTTCTTTCATCCAATGGTAATTTGAACTATGGAGTGTTTTTGTTTTGTTTTGTTTTGTTTTACTACAAAACATTGAAAGGTCAATTGACCGACTCAAAGACTGGATCAGACTGAGCCCCTCAGAAAAAAAACAGATATATACTATTGATAAAATCTCATCTAAAACAAAATTTTTTTTTATGAAGGGTAATAGCTTTATTCCTTTTTAAATAGTTTATTGTCAAGTTGGTTTCCATAAAGCAAAATTATTAAAGGAGATTTTAAATCAGTAAAGTTTGTCTTTGTATTTAATAAAATTAGCTGATAGAGATACTCAATAATACTGAATGTAAGAGAACAGGTTTTATTAGGAAAAAATAACTTTATTTCAATACTATTTTCATGTTGGTTCACCTTGGTGGCTCTGTCAGTGACGCTTCTGACTCTCGGTTTTGGTCACATCATGATCTCATGGTTGTGGGACTGAGCCCAGGATGGGCTCTGTGCCAAGCATGGACCTGCTTGGGAATCTCTATGTCTCTCTCCCCACCATCAAAACAAGTAAATAAAGATGATAGAGTAGTCATATGCATATAATAATCTAATCACACATCCTTGAACTACATAAAACATAAGATTGTACCTAAGTGGAGATTCAAACCAATATCTTTATGAGTTGATGTGATTTACAAATCTATTAAGATACATTGGGTGGATGGACATAGATTAAATTTTTTTTTTAATTTTTATTTATTTCTGAGAGAGAGAGGCAGCGGGACCAGGAAAGGGTCAGAGAGAGAGAGGGAGACACAAAATCCGAAGCAGGCTCCAGGCTCTGAGTTGTCAACACAGTGCCCGACGTGGGGCTCGAACCCACAAACTGTGAGATCATGACCTGAGTCGAAGTCGGCCGCTTAACCGACTGAGCCACCCAGGCGCCCCTAGATTAAATTTTTTAATGATTTATTTCTTTTTGAGAGAGAGACTGAGCACAAGTCGGGAAGGGGCAGAGAGCAAGAGGGATACACAGAATCTGAAGCAGGCTCCAGGCTCTGAGCTGTCAGCACAGAGCCCGACGCGGGGCTCGAACTCATGAACCACAACATATTGACCTGAGCCAAAGTCGGACGCTTAACTGACTGAGCCATCCAGGTGCCCCGAAAACATATTTTTTTTATAGAGTAGGTGCTTGATCAGATATGTACAAATAATAGAGAGCTGTCCATGGTTATGTAGAAAATAATTTATCATACATTTGTATAAATAATAAGAGCCTAAGCAAGTAATAGGTTGTGGCATATGTTCCAAGAAGGAGGAAATGCACATCTTTTAGATAGATTTTGTACCTAAAATGTCAAACATTTATTATGCAAAAATGGAAGTACCTCCAATTATTTCCAAATTGCCAGCATAGCCAGCCTGCCATCTGAGAAAGCTGCAACGTCATCAGTAATCACAATAAGAAGATATTGGTTTCAGGAGTAGAATTTAGTGATTCACCAATTACATAGACTGCCAAGTGCTCATCATAACGAATGCCCTCCTTAACCCCCATCACTAATGGAGCCCATCCCCACACCTCCCACTGCTCCAACAACCCTCAGCCTGTTTTCTTTAAGAGGCTCCGGTGGTTTGCCTCCCTTTCTGTTTTAATCTCATTTGATTTTTCGTTTCCTTCCCCAATTTTCATGTTTTGTTTCTTAAATTCCACATATAAGTGAAATCACATGGTATTTGTCCATTTCTGATTGACTTATCTCATTTAGGATCATAAGCTTCAGCTCCATCCACATTGTTGCAAACAGCAAGATTTCATTGTTTTTGATCGTCAAGTAACACACACACACACACACACACACACACCCCACATCTTCTTTATCCATTTGTCAGAGGATGGACATTTGGGCTCTTTCCATAATTTAGCTCTTGTTGATGATGTTGCTATAAACATTGGGGTATGTGTGCACTTTAAATCAGCATTTATGTATTGGGATAAACACATACTACTACAACTGCTAGATCATAGGTGAGTTCTATTTTTAACATTTTGAGGAGCCGTCATACTGTTTACCAGAGGGCTGCACCAGTTTACATTTCCACCAACAGTGCAAGAGGGTTCCCTGTTCCACTTCCTCACAGTGGAAGCAATCAACAAAACTAATATGCAAACAATGGAATGGGGTGAACATGTTTGCAAATGACATATTGGAGAAAGGCTAGTATCCAAAAACCTATAAAGAACTTATCAAATCGGGGTGCCTGGGTGGCTTAGTTGGTTAAGCGTCCGACTTTCGCTTAGGTCATGATCTCACGGTTCGTGGGTTTGTGCCCCGCGTCGGGCTCTGTGCTGGCTGCCAGCTCAGAGCCTGGAGCCTGTTTCAATCTGTGACTCCCTCTCTCTCTGACCCTCCCCTGCTCATGCTGTCTCTCTCTCTGTCTCCTAGAAATAAATAAACATTAAAAAAAAAAATTACTTATCAAATCAACCCCCATAAAATGAATAATCCAGTGAAGAAATAAGCATGAATAAGTCAGGCAGAGAAGGACAAATATCAAATGTTTGCACGTATAGGATTAGGAGGAACTTAACTGAGGAACAAGGGGGAGAAGAAGGGGGGAAATGGTGGGGGAAAGGAAAAGAGGCAAACCATGAGAGACTCTTGAATGCTGACAAAAACTGAGGACTGATGGATGTGGGGGGGAGGGGGGATGGGCATGGAGGAGGACACTTGTGGGGATGAGCACTGGGTGTTATGTGGAAACTAATTTGACAATAAACTATTTGTAAAAAAAAAAAAAGAAAGAAAGAAATAAGCATGAATAGACACAGCTCAAAGAAGACATCCAGTGAACATATTTTTTTTCCTCTATGAAGAAAGCATCTTTCTTTTCTTTTTTTCATTTAAATTTTAGTTAGTTAACATAAGTGCAATATTGGCTTCAGGAGTAGAATTCTGTGATTTACTGAAAGGGAACACTCAGTGCTCTTCAAAACAAGTGCCCGCCTTATACCCATCCCCTATCTAGCCCATCCCCCAGCCAGCTCCCTCCATCAACCCTCAGCATGTTCTCGATAGTTAAGGATCTCGTACAGTTTATATCCCTCTCTCTTTTTTCTTTTTCCCCTTCCCAATGTTCATCTGTTTTGTCTCTTAAATTCCACATATTGGTTAAATCATTTGGTGTTTGTCTTTCTGAAACTGACCTTCTAGCTTGATCCTTATTGCAAAACAAGATTTCATTTTCTGATGGCTGAGTAATATTCCGTTGAATACACATTCCACCTTTTTATGAGGGGAGCAATTTATACTCCTTCCAGAAATGTACTGGGATTCTAAGTACACAGTATCTCCCCAACAACCAATTTTGCAATTGTGTTCTCTGGCCTCGCATGTGGATGTACTAGGACTGGGGATCACAACTGCCACGGACAGGGTGGCATTACACCAAGAAGGCAAATACCAGGATGTTTCAAATCGAAGGAAGCATACGTCACGTCAGGGTCACCAGTGACCTGTGCTGCAGCAGGATCACGCTCACTTGTGAAAGACGGCTGTGCCCATGACCTCCCACCTGGGCACGTGGTGCTATCACTCGCAGCGAGATGTCGGCCATGAAGTGCGTGTTTACACTGAAGAGATGGACAAATGCCACCACTGACAGCTTTTTAAAAACTGGTCATTTCTGGGGCGCCTGGGTGGCTTAGTCGTTAAGCGTCCGACTTTCGCTTAGGTCATGATCTCACGGTTCGTGGGTTTGAGCCCCGCATCGGGCTCTGTGCTGACTGCCAGCTCAGAGCCTGGAGCCTGTTTCAGTCTGTGACTCCCTCTCTCTCTGACCCTCCCTTGCTCACGCTGTCTCTCTCACTCTCTCCTAGAAATAAATAAAAAATATTAAAAAAAAATAAAAATAAAAACTGGTCATTTCTTAGAGCCAGTGTAGCAGCAGAGCACCAGGCTGTCACTTCAAACACCCCTGCGGTCAGTCAAACTAATGGTGTTTCTGGAAAATACTCCTGGAATCACTGGATAGAAAAGAAGAGATGTATGTGTCCAGGGCAGGTTAAGGGGATGGTTTTCCATTCATCTGTTTTCAAGTAGACCCTATTTTCACCCCATCTACTCAGTTATTCTTAGGCCAAGTGTGTGTTCTGAGCAGAACCAAGGTATGCCTCAAAGAGTGTGGAGAGTGTGGCTATTCAAAATACAGGTGAATGTGTATTTATATAAAAGGGGACCAGTGTGTCAAGCTGTGTACACGTGTGGA